CGCTGTGAGAAGCTCACCTTCAACAACCCCACAGAGGAGTTTCGTAGGAAGCTGCTGAAAGCCGGAGGGGTAGGATTGCGAGGGAGAGGCTGGGGCTTGAGTGACATCTCTTAATGTGATACAGCTACTTCTACTGCAGCTGCCAGCCTAGCAGGAAAAACTTTATCTCTATTTTTCCAGGGAAAGTTGATAGAGTTCAGTGCAGTTTTTTGCAGAAACACTCACACAATCAACCTGCCTTTCTTCAGTCGCAGGGAAAAGATGTGCAGTCTTAAAGTGATGGTCACTGAGGTCAGGGGCCTTGTTGAGGATGCTTTGGTGTTTGAGACAAGCCATTCATACTTTGAATCAGATCTTTAAGACTGAGTGCCCGCACTGGAAGTAATCAGGTCAGATTTATTTAACACCACTTTCCAAAGCAGAAGCAGGAGAAATGGAGATCCACAATTTCCTCCATTGTCTGTTCTTGGACTGTAGTTGTCCTCCATGCCGCGGTAAGCAGCATGGAATCCACTCAACCGCTTTTACGCACTTCTGTCACTCTGAATTTGATATTGTTTTTGTCTGTCATGTTGCAAGTGACAAAAAGACACATTGAAATCCGATTATGATTGTTCAGACAGAGACACATCTGTAGAAATCAGATTGGACGGGACCCCAGATAGCTCACCTGGTAGAGCTGGTGCCCCATGTACCAATGCTTAGTCGTCACTGCAGCGGCCATGGGTTGAACTCCGACCTGTGGCCCTTTGCTGCGTGTCATCCCCTCTCTCCCCCTTTTCCTGTCAGTCTTCAGCTGTTCTATCCAATAAAGGGGAAAAAAGCCCCATAATGTGGCTTGGATCTGATTTCCAAAAATCGTGTTTTATGTGGTTTTTTGGATACAATCTAGATAGGCCAAAAAAAATGGATTGGATTGGATTTGGGCTAGCAGTATGATTCTTGTTCCAAATATGAGTAATGATTGACAACAATGGAGCTCTATGGCACAAAGGAAGAAGATACACACACATTACTTATTAGAAGGGTATGTTCACTGTTTGTTTGGCTGTACACATGGGATTTGTTCACAGTAAATAACCAGAATTATCTTTTTATTTAGCAGTTTTTTCTGTTAAAACCAGTTTTCAATTCCATAGCTATTTTATATTGGAGAAGCAGAAGCAGACAAATGATGACAGGGCCTTTCGCCATGAATGAATTCTAGATTCCAAATATTCCAATGGACTAAAAAGGCTTCTGTAATGTCTGTATGTTAGTGCCACAGTCACATTTTTTTCTGTAAGGTGTAAAAGCCTGAGAGCTCTTTGTTTAACTCTTAGGCATTGCAGCTGTTGTTCACAAGAAGAGTGTGACTGTGCATGCCAAATTTCATTCTGTTACAGTATATGAGGTGTAACCTAACCACTCCCGTTATCTGTTCTCCTCCTCTCAAGAGGCTGCTTTATTGTTTGACCAGTTATTGTCTGTGTGGTTTATCTCTTTAGAATCAGTCTGCAACATACAGTTTGCTTAAACATACAGATGTCAGGGATCCTCTTGCTTTAGTATTGTTTTATGAAAAATATACAATGCAGAATGACATTAAATTTCACCAGATCAGCTGTTCTAGTCATTAAAGTTGTCTGTAGTGGTTACAGTTGTCATAAACTGGCATCAGTTTACCTTTTAGTTGCTTTGAGGGATGTCCCCATCAAGTGTTTTTGGCCATGATCCTGATCCAAAGTATGTGCCAATACCAATCCAATATTAATATCTACCTAAAGGTTGATTAAATAAGCATCTGACACATTGGAATAACAGTTGTAGCTACTCAATTTGGCCGTCCTTACTTTTCACGAGCCGCTATATCCAAATGCCGAAGGCCCTGTTTCAAAACTATAAAGTTGATAAGCTTACATTAATGACATGATGAGAGAGAGAGAGAGAGAGAGAGAGAGAAACAAAGAGAGAGAGAGAGAGAGAGAAACAATCTTTGGCTGAGTACAGATTCCAGCTTGCAGAGAGCACAAAATCCAACAGTTTTAGTTTGGCCTGCCATCGAGACCTGCCACCAGCATTGTTTGCCATTTTAACAGGTGAAAGCGAAAGATGAGAAGGTGCTAGCTGATTGTGTTATATGTTGCTTTTTGCTAATACAACAGGAGAGATAACAGCTTTGTTACCATCAGAGTTTAGCAAATCTGAGTATTTTGCCATTGCCAACTCAGGTGTCAGAACAGTCATTCACCAGTGCAACCATATCACGTTACTCTTTTCTTCACTCGCATACAGAGCAAAATGCTTGCATTGTAGAGCCCAGCTGTCATTAAGGAGGACAGCACTGCAACACTAGCAGACTCACATAGCCAAAACACTGTAGAGTTCTTTATTGAAACCGATACGATCCATTACAATATGGCCAGATCTGCCCTGATACCAATCCTTAGGATCAGCTCGGGACATCCCTAGTTGCTTCCTCAGTGTCGGGTGCAGTCAGTCTGTTGGCCCCCGGCCAGAGGACCCCTGTAGTCTGGAGGTTTTATGACTGGAGCTAAGTGCTCTCTATTTACTTTGCCCTGCACCCCCTTCTTAGCCTCAGAAAGGGCTCAAGTGCTGACACAGACCATGTCGAAACTCACATTCTCTATTGTCAGGGCTCACGACTGAAGAGTCTTCAATGTCATTACTCTGTTCAAAGTTACTTTACTACACCCTGTTCCACAGATTTGGACATTAATAAATAACAATAATGTAAGCTTAAATTCTTATAGGATTAAGCTGTAGATGATAATTATGCGTCTCCTTTGTTCTCCCTCTCTTTAACAGCAACGGGATCCTCACAAACGAAGTACAGAAGATTCAAAAGTAAGGTTTCCAACATGCTTCGGGGTCATGGATGAAACAGGCTTGTCTAAAGATCTGAACACCTCCTATAGAGTGGCTTTGAATAACTTTTTGTGTAATGATACCAGTACTTTTATTCTCCTGGCTGGGAGATTTACCGTCAGTGTGCCTCAGCACTCCAGTATAGACACACTGAAGCAGCTGTGTTGTCTTTACTTGCATATTCTGGCCATGGTTCTAGCCCTGTAACGACTGCTAGATATTTCAGATAAAACAGGCAGCTTTTAGATGTTTGAATGTGTGCTGTGTAGACCTCGAAGCTCTTGGCATTAGGGATGGTAACACACTAACTCATGACCCTTAATTCTTCCTTCAGCATAATAAAAGCCTTCTCTTAGTTCATACTGGACCCATTAGAAGTAACCAGGATTAAATGTACTTTTCAAACAGATTGATTACACTGGTTATATTTTGGATGATCATTTTTAAAGAGTTTTTTAAAGAAGTGGTTTAACATTGTGCAATTTGATTCAGAATTTAGATCAATACCAGTCTCATGTCTGTGCACAGAGCTGGAGTCAGTAAAGGGTTAGCTTAGCTTAGCATTAAGACTGGTAGCAAGCAAAAATAACTAGCCTGGCTTTGTCCTAAATTAATTAATTCTAAACTGACTAAATACGCTGTATCTTGTTTGTCTAAACCATACTAAACACAAATGTAAAAGGACAATTCATGGTTGTAGGGGGAGCTATTTGCTCAAACAATTGCTTGACTTAAAGCTGGGAACAGCATTATTTGATATCTGTTTGTGGATGGCTTTAGATGTAATTGGTGTGTTTTTTAACTTTGACAGCCAAGTTAGCGGTTTCCCCATGCTACTGTACTGGTCTTTATGCTAAGCTAGGCTAAAACCCCTTACTTCTCTTAACTCTCTTGAGACACAGACATGAGTTTCTCATCTCACTCTCTGAAAGGAGGAAAATAGGTGTACTGTATACATTTATATTTATATATATAAAAAAAAAAGACCAGATCCCGTTGACAAAACCCATAATTTTACATAGCCTCTAATTGTGAAACAAAGAAACAGAAACAAAATAAAACTCAACAAAATCATCTTTGCTAGTCGCTAGTTAGATGAGAAAATAGGCTTTGCTATGGCTACTACTGAAATGCTAGCTAAACCTTGGGGACAAATGCACCAGTTAAAGTACGTCCACTAAAAAGCTTGTCACTGTGGGCTCAGATTGTTATTCTAAGTGGCTGACAATAATATGGAAAGCAGCCCTACAGAGATAGAGCTTTTGTTTAACCAGAAACAGCCATAATATTGCTTATGCCACCAGACTCCATAGACAAAACGGTAATTTTACCTTGCATATCGTCATATAATCGTAACTTTATTCAAAAAACAAAAACTAAATAAAACTCCTCAAAACAATCTTTCTTTCCACTGTTCAAACAATCACCAACTCTGCTTTGGTCCAAATAAATCCTTAATTCACCACCGTAGAAGATAAAAACTGCAGTTTCAGTCACTCTACTCAGCTGCACACGGAGCAGCTATGGAACAAACACAGAGGAGCTGCGATACAACACAGGCAAAGTGTGACACCATGATCCACTGGTATCATTACATAGCAAATAGCGAGGTTTTTGGTCTTTCATGTCAACGCCCAAATGGATTTTAGTTTGATACACAGCCCTACTTTTCAATTTTATAACTAACCCAAAGCAAAATATTTGAAAGTTGAGGAGCCTCTGATGATTTTGGTTTGTTGCTCTTCCTCTGGCAGGTGATGGTAATGCAGGAGGGCTCCACCTCCCTGTTCGGCCAGCACCTGAAGCTGCCCACGCTTCCTAACAGCTCGCTGACATCCTCCTTCTCCGACCCAAAGAAGAGCAAAAGCTTCCATGGGTCAAAGGTCAGTGTTGTTTCCAGGCCCAGCCTGGAGCTGAACTGCCTTCCTCTGCCTCTGCTTTCGGCCCCACCCGAATCTGAAGCTTTTTACCCCTTCAAAGTCTCCAAGCCCTAATCCCCCACATAGTTGGCAGGTTCAAAGACGTCCAATATATTTAAACTCAGGGATTTCAAAGACATCCAACTTTGGCTTAAGCAAACTATATCTTGGCTGCAGCTCAGCCATAAGCACTTACTTCACTGACTCATAGACGTGCTGTGAATCTTTTGACAACCTGTGGGTTTTGGAATGGCCACATTATGCTCTAATGTCCTTTAAAATGTATTACACACAGACGTTTTAGACAGTAACGTAAGTTAGTGAACAACATTGAAGATGGGGAAAATGCATATATTAGAAGCTACACATGCGATTTGAGACATTATCTTGTGCAGCACTAAATCATGTATGTCAATAAGCTGGCATGTTGTTTCCATTATGTGTTATTTTTAGTCCCTTTAAATAGTGTCATTTAAGAGCCAGGTTAGGAGGGCCATTTCACATGGAAACAGTTTCCAGTCTAAACACAGTGTGTGTGATGAATTACTTGTGGAGCAGGAGGTCACACACACACACACACACACACACACACACACTCTCTCTTCTCTCTGTCTCTCTCTCTCTCTCTCTCTCTCTCTCTCTCTCTCTCTCTGTCTCTCCCCTCTCTCTCTCTCTCTCCATCCATCATGTTCTGAGAATTATTGCTCAGGTATTATAGCACATTGGATATTTTTGTAATTAATCGTAACTAATTTGACAAGGACCTAAATACTTAAGTTTTCCTCCATTACTGATGTAAGTCCTCGTATGATACCGCCACACCTGATATATTTCAAATAAGAACAGTGTATTAGGTTAGGAAAATCACAAAATGAATACAAAACACAATATATCTAATATACACACTATAATATTAACATAGTATGAAATGTACAGATGGAGAGATGCAGAAGTGCAATATCCAAATCTCAGTAGAGCTCGAGCAAAATGGGTATTTTTCTCTTCAAAAAATTCTCTAATTACCGATATTAAAAAGCTGTTATAGTGACTTTTTGAGTTGTAATGAAAATAGAGCAATTTTGCATCGATATGACTATTTATAGGCTGCTTTCTTAAGCAAATAATAGTTGTTAAATTGTTAAATAATTTAACATATAGGCTACATTGTCAACCAATTCTAGAAATAAGCACTGAGAAAATAAAGAATTAATAAAACTACTCAGAAGTAATTGTTTGATAAAGTGTGTGACTTTGAGTCTTTAAAAGCACCATAAGGCCTGTAACAAACACTACTGCCACTACTGTTAGCCAGTATGTTATTTATAATTAATTGATTCTTTAATTCTATTGATTATATCTTCTGTGATGTAATAATAAACAATTCTAGTTGTCATTGTCCCTACTGGTTTTCCATCATAAAGTTATACTTTAGCCAGTAAGGCTGTGAAACAGGCATTCAACTGCATTTGGTGTGATACTAAAAATGTCTTAAAAGTTTTTAATTGAACTTGCTGAACCCTGCTGAAATCTGGAGTATAATGCAGTTCATAGAAAGCAAAATGCATTTAGAATCTGTTTGTAATTATGATGTGCTTTTAAATTCCACTCTGACAGTATTACTATTATACTCCCTTCAGTGATTTATATCAACTTAGGTCACCTGCTAACCTGTCAATGTCACGGTGCTGAAAGGTTTGTTAAAAAGTGCCACTTTAGTGATCTCTTCAATGCTGATGGCAGCAGAGAGGCTCTGTGTGTCCCTTCCAGAGCACTAAACCAGTTTTTATGTTGTGCTGCCCTGGGAGGGAAATGGGTTCACTGCAGAGGAGGAGCATGCAGCAGTTTAGAATGAGCCGGCAGCTTTACATCCTGAGGTCCCGGGTTCACCAGCAGATAGACAAAATGAAAGGTTTTAGAGGTGATTGGGCAGAGTTGTAACACACCCCGTCGTCTAGACTGCTTTAATGGGTTTACTGCATTGATGAAATATTGACAAAGGGGCTGGAGGTGAGACCCAGGGACCAATGGCCCCCGCCGTTAGAAGGAATGCATTTCCTCCTTTCTACACATTGCTCTTTGCTCCACTTTTAAAGTTGCGCATGTGTGGCGGCTGAAAAGGCCCCTCCACCCCACTGAACAGCACTGTTCAAAAGAAGTCCTGAGTTTGCTCTTTAAGCCCATAGATGGGGACTAAGAAGACCCTTTTGATTTTCTTTTAAGAATAGACTTCTTTTCACAGATGGTAATGCCAAACTGCAGGGTGGCATGCATGTTTCCTCTTGTGTAAAAGGCAGAGGATTAATCTTCATTTGACCTAGCTGCCTGGTTTTTGCTCACTTTGTTGTTTGGTACTATGCGTTGTAGTCTTGAGTGAAGTCCAAAGTTGACAGAATACAAACGGCAAGAAGACAACATAATTACAGGAGATTGGAAAAGATGTGATTTAAACCAAAACACCCCCGTTTTTAATATTTTGGGTTCTTTATTAACTTTATATCTTTATTATTTTCAGTGGCAGTTCTTTTCAGTTATTATTACAGCAATGTAAGCCCATACTATCCTCAGGCAACAGTATTTCTCTGTGGTTAATTATGGCCTTGCCCTATTATGTTTGCCCACTGACCTAAAGTGGGATTTCCCTTTACCTTGCTCCATAATCCTAAGAGCTGACGTTTTTTCTTTTGAAGCTTAGATGATTCTGTGTAATTCTGCTCCAACACCCTGAATGTTGGATAGAATTTCTTGGTGTTTTTTCGTTAATGACTTAACTTGCCATTATGCAGTTTGTACGTCACAATTTAGACTGCCAGTAGCCACGAAAGCTAAACCTATTGCTTATTTTTCAGTCTTTTGTTCTGTAGGATGTGTTCATACAATACAGGATATTTCTCATTTGCTGGCTTTAATCCACAGGATGGTTCCAAAGGAAGCGGCACTACCCTGCTCACCACCGCCACAACCACCAGCACCAACAGCAGCAGCTTCTCCAAACTCCACAAACCCTCCAAGGACCACAAAGACAAGCCTCCAAAAGACTTGAAAGAGCCCAAAAGTGCCTTCAGAGACTCTGGCTGGGAACCCAGCAAAGCCCCCAAAGAACCTTCCAGGAAACCCAAAGAGAACCAGCCACTTAGAGATATCAATCCTAAGATGGGCTTCAAGGAACCCAAGTCTTTGTCCAAGGAGCATCGGACTGAGGGAATGAACCACGGGTCCGGACTAAACAAGCGTCTGTCCACCCCCGACGGTGATGATCACCTGACCAAAAAACGCAAAAAGGGATTTGTGGATTCATCAGGGAAACAGACGTCAGGGTTAGACGCCCAACATTTGGATAAGAAACTCTTGAAGGACAGATCGCAGATGCGGACAAGTAAATCACGGCCAGACGGTGATGAGGTGGAGCGCAGGAAGGTGTCAACACTTCCCCCATTTCAGGACCTGGTGGACCCCAATGACTCTGATATAGAGGACCAGTCTACCAAATCGGATGTAAGTGGAAAACCTTTTTTGAATCTTTTTGGACTTTTAAATGTTATGAAAACCATTACAAGAGTTCTTGATCCGTCTTAATAGTAAAGCAGCTGATTTAATTGATATACTCCAATTTGACTCACTGCTTTAAGCAGTGAAAGCAGTGAGTCCAACGTGCTGGACCCAGCACACAGTTGAGTTTACTGGAAAAAGTGGTGAAGGGAGGGGTTGTGGAAAGGTGTCCAATTCTTCCAAAGCTTTAGGGGGAGGATTTGTTGGTGGTCAGTTCTTCCTCTCCGTGGAGGGGCTATATAATCAAACAACTAACAGCCAGAGAATCTTCTTTAATGGTGGTCTGGTGGCCCCCAGGAGGTTGGCCAGGGGGGATTGGAAGAAGGGGTGGGCACCAATAAACCTAGTGGGAGATCAGATGCATTCATCTGGGTGGCCAAACGAGAAGTGTACAAAACTGAAGATATTTACAAGATGAAGTTTTTTGTCCTTACTGACAGCAAAGATTTTGTACACCTAAATTATGTTTCTATCCAAAGTAATAGAATATGGGTGTCGAATGTGCTTGCTTACAAACTTAAAGTATTCCTCCATACTCCACCTCAAGAGCAGGATTAGAGAAACTTCAGGTCTACAGTGGCTCCTTTCATGAATAGGCAGGACTGGGTTGCCTGGTCCACGCACATTTGGTGGAGAACCTCCTCATAAAGAAGGGCTGTTTTAAAGCCAAACAGTAGACAAGAAAGATTTATGGTTTTACAACACCTGAGGAGAAAGGGGAGACGCGGCAGTGAATAGCGTAGAGTTCCCCTTTAATCCTTTTAGCTTTTGAAAGAAGAAAAAGGGTGAGCGTTTGCGGAAGAAAGGTCTAAATCCCTGTGCTTTTGAGCAGTTTTCTTTTATGTGACGGTGTTTTCATTTCTATTCTCAAATGCTTGTATAAAGCGTGGCTCTTTATGTACCTTTCGCTGTAGGGGCAGCTTGTTTAGCCAGGGGAGTTATTACTTAGCACTAGCAGAACTTGTGTTTTTGTCTGTGCCGTACGCAAATGCCTTTTAAGTCCTCCCATACAGGGACTGGGGGGTCGGCGCGGTTGTAAAGGGGATGTGGGGTGACAAATGCCAGGTGTTTGATTCTCCCCAGGCTAGCAACCCCGGTGGCCGAGCACTGGGGCCGACACAGAGCGCCGCTCTCATTTCTCATGTGACAACTTGTTTGATCTCAGCCTTTTCTGCTGAATGCCGGGCCAGAAACAGCAGAGAGGAGGAAATGTGGAGTAGGTGATGACATAAAGGGAAAGCAGGCTGGCGTGTTAGCATGAGAACCTTGTTTTTAGCACGCTGGATGTGGGCACAGGCTGAGTGATTTGTCACCTGCACAAGCTGGTGTAAAGCAAACATCAGTACAGAGACATGTGTTGTAGATAGCTTTCTGTTTAAATATTTTTATGTGATATTATAGAATGAGTGATTTAATATTATTATTATTGACACTATAGCAAAATTGGTGAAGAATTAAGACTAGTTTAAAATTTGTAACCTTTTGGAGAAAAATTCAACCTTTTAATGGGAGCTTTTAGTTGAATTCAAACTGCTAATATGTACATTTTATAAGGTTTTTCACCACTACAGAAACACTGTGTAACTGTACGTATGATAAAGCTGTCTGACATTGCTGTTATTAGTTAGATTATGATTTAATAATGTGTGATTCTCAGAGCCTTTAGACAGTAACAAATATTGTTCTTGTTTTTTTTGTTTTTGAGAGCCTCTGCCAAACCGTTAAATGATTGTTTACAAGTAAATGTGCAATTTTACCAATCTGCGTACATTTATCTCCCATAAAGGAGAAAAAACACTACCATGTACAGTAGCATTACAAGAATGATTGATTCATGTTGTCAACATAGGCAAAACTCTAACATTTGCTTAATGGTTTGAGAAATAACTCAAAAGTCCAGTGTGTGTGTGTGGGGTGCCCAGATAGCCTGGTACCAAAGGCTGAGTCCTTGCTGCATGTCATTCCCTCTCTCCCCCCTTTCCTGTCTATCTTCAGCTGTCATTATCGCATGTGAAGGACAACCCCCCCGCGCCCAAGAAAAAAAACAAAAACATACAGCGCACAGCATCTATTGGCAGAAATGGAGTATGACAGGGATATGACGCCTTCATTGCAGGCTGCCATGTCAAACCTCCATGTTCCTATAGTAGAAGTAAAGTTGTCTCTAGAGGGAGCTGTGTGAGATAGATAAATGTCTTCATGTGACGTCATTTGAGTCAGCATCAATTGGGGCTGAAGGCTACACATTTAAAAATGAAAAACATCTGCTACCAAACACTACTACCAGCATAAAATGCATTGTGAATAAAGTAGGCACCAGGTTTTGGATTTAAGAAGAATATTTCTCTGGTACTGCTACATCGATTTTTAGCAACAAAAAAAGAAACATTGTCAGTGTAACAGTGTTATAGGAGTACAATACTAAATTGGTATGAGTATTCTTTATAAGGTCAAAAGTCATATAACATGCAATGAAATCTAAAACTAGCTCAGACTTACTCATCTGTGCTCTGGTCGTGTCCACTTTTTATGGTATTCTACAAATCACTGACTTGTATTTCCCATATACTTCTACTTAGTAAATCCTAATTGAAAACCTCTAAAAAAAAAAAGACAAAAAACCTATATAATACTGTACCATGTATTCATTTTGTTATAATTACAAAACCAACGGACTAGAGGGGATGTATTTACATTATTCAATTCAATTAATGTGATAACCTTTCAAAACTTCTCCCTAAGCATACCACATCAAGAGTCGGATTTTTTTCTGCCACTAAATACCAAGAAGGAAACCACCTGTCTTGTTTAAAAGTCCCATCAGACCCTGGAATTTCTTTGGGTGGGGGGCTTACCTCAGTGCTAGAGATTGCTCTGTCAGGTTTAGGAGTCAAGTACATTAAACTTCTCAGAAAGATACTGCAACTACCAAACAGTTGGGGAAACCATTAAGGGGTTAACTGCAGCCAGATTGAAAATGAGCTGATAGATTTCTAGTACATTTGTGTTGCGAACCACAACATTTCAGTATAATGAGTTGGCTTTGTTTGAATGAATCCACAGTGTCAAACTGAAAGGCTTCTTAATTCACATTAAAACAGTTCTGTTTGGACAGCCCCTGCTGAATTAGACAAGCAAACCAAATAGCCTTGGTCAGTTTGGTCTTGTTTGCTGGCATTTCTTTTTTTGGCTGTCCTAAACTGTGCCAAGAGTTAAGAGAAGAAGCCAGATTGATGTAAACTCAGATTGAATACAATTTATTTTCTTTGAAGAGGGCAGCTTTGGTGGCTCTGAGTGAAGCAGGACAAAAGCCCTAAAAGAAGGAGCGGTAGTAAGATTTATGGCACTCTGAAGAAGCTGTCCCATAAACCAACAGACCAGCTGTGTGTTTGTAGGAGGTGACAACCATTGATGTCGCTTTGCCTTTTGTCCTCACTTCTCTCTCATTCTCCCATGTTTCTTCTTCTCACCACTTTGTTTCTTGGGCAGCTCTAGTTTGCAGCAACAGCCTCCTTTTTTTTAATTATAAATTTGGGTTTGTACACTATCATCAAAGTGCATTTAAAACTCCCTTTAGACTGGCACATTTAAAACCACATCTCCAGTTGGTGTGGTTAGATGCTGCTTGGCTTTGGCAAACAGGGCTTTCTGTCAAGGTGGGAATTTTGTTTAATAATGTTGACTTTCAATTTAAAAAAAATAGGAGACATATGATAATAAATTCATCTATTATGGGAAAATATAAATTTGTTAGCGGTCAGAGGTTTGGGAGGCTGTTTATACCACAGTATCTGTCTCTAGGAGTCCTTTCCCAGCTTAACTGCAGCTACGTGGGGCTTCATAGGTGATGCCAGTTCTTTAACATTTTAAATCCTTGATTACAAACCAGTTTGCATCACTTTTCCATTGATCTGACACGCCGCATCTCCGTTTTCCATATGCCTGTTCACCAAAACTTTTTCAAATAAGGCGGTTTAGGAACCGTCCTTATCTTCCTAAAAAAAAAATGGGTAAATATGTGGAGCATGGGTGGAACTAAGAGGGGCTGAATGGAGCCTGGTTACTGACCCACCTGTCACTCAAAGCGTCCACCCCCTTAATTATGCATAACTTTAAGCCTTAATATAATTTAAACAGGTGAGTTATATAAAATGTCACCACCTGTACAGTTGAGTTCATGAATGGGGAAATTAACTATAGAGACCAGAAGTGTGTTGTGTACCAGGCTGTAACTCACTGCTGGAGCCAGCCTCAAGTGGCTGTTAGAGGAACTGCAGTTTTTGGCATGTCCATGTTAGCTTCATTAGCCAGCCACAAAGGTAACTGCTAGGCGACAGCCCATTTTTCCCATCATGCATCAGCCTAGTGTGCTAATGTTACTTTTTGTTTGTGTCTGTAATTATATGTTCAGAACATTGTGGTTTATGATGGTAATTGGTTAGTTGGTTTATAGTTTAAACATTAACACCAGTGAGGTGGCGGTTACGTTTCTTGACCCAGTTGTCCATGCAAACATTTCATTGTTGTGCTGTGATGAAATGAAAATGATCGGTTAACTCTAAGATACAGAAAAACTGCACTTAATTAGTTGATTAATTGACCTCGTAGTGATTCCAGAAACTCTGGACATATTTGATATCCCAAAACACAATACTTGCAGCTGGGGAAAAGGCAGGGAATTGAATTCAGTTTCGAGGGTCTTCAGAACTGTCGACAAATCAGGGGCCAGATAATCATGTCTGACTATCTGGATGTATCTATTTCATCTGCAGCCAAGTCTGCGAGGGTGTGAGCTCTTTCTTCCCCTGAGCACTCACACTGCACTCTTGTTGAAATACATGAGCTGTCCACACTTCTAAAAGCTCCGTTTGAAGAGGACGGAGAGCAACTAATGACTCTGTATCAAAGTGATTAGAGCTAGACGGTGTAGGACACACTACACAGCTGCTCACTTTAAAGCTAACTTTATCTCCTCAGGTAAAAGAGTTTCTATTTTTACCCTGAATTATGAATAGAAATTCATAGGTTTTCATGTAGGTTTTCTGTCCATAGTGGAAGTGCTGTAATACCCCTCTCACAAAGTATGTATGAAACATGCCAATAAAAACTGCCAATAAAAATGAATTAAACTATGCTCACAGCTTTATACTGCTTTTTAATACTCCAGTTACAATGTCAAATACATACTGTGTTTCTGGTGGCTTGTCATTGTTGGAACACACATGGTAATTCGATCTTTGGTATTGTGTCCTCCTTATTTCTTAGATTAATCAGGTTGAGAGATTTGTGCACTTGTATGTACGTGTGTATCTGATCAGGTCATGAAACAATCTGGCTTCAAGCTATAGTGAGTGTACATGGATTTGCCTGCAGTGTGCCATGGTGATGCTGGAAATCTGTCAGGGTATCTGCAGGGCTTGAAGAGTCTCCAAGTAACGAATTCGGTTCCCCCCCAAAAAAGCCCTTGCAGTAGAAGGTATTAAACGTCTCATATTTAATTAACAAGTTTGACTTTTTCTTTTTGCCTGTCGCAGAGAGTATCAGTTATAACTTTTTTTGTATGTGGTTGCAGGCAGGTTGTCAGGAGATGTTATACAGCTATAAACTAAATGAGGCTGGTGCGACAGTGGATTGTAGGGAGGCTGTTTCATCATTTTTGTGGAGTCAGCACTGTAGGACCTGTAGCAAACACTGTCACTGCTGCTATGGTAGCTAGGAAGCTCATCAACCCATAATGGGCAAATGTTGATATTAGCAAAAACTAAAAGGACCAGTGCAAATCTTAAAGGACTAGTGGATATTATGTTCCATTTCCAATAAATCCTCCTAAATTTTACACACTGGACCTTTAAATGAACTTAAACATACTACAAGGAGTTTTTAACTGGGTATGAAACTATCTCAGTTTAATACTGATGCCTCTATATGATCAATGTAAACAAATAAGACCATCTAAGAAAATATTCGCTATTTTTATATAGTTATTCTTAATGCCTGCCACCAGTTCCGGTGAACAGAAAATTACTGACAAAAATATGACATAAATGGGCGCCCGGATAGCTCAGTGGGTAGAGCT